AAAAAAAAAAAAAAAATTGTGGACAAAAATTAAAAACACGTATTTTTAGAATATGTTTTTTTAAATAATTTTTTTTTAGAAAAACGTATTTTCATACTATGTTTTACAATTATGTTTTTAAAATGTTAATTAAAAAAATTATTTTAAAAAATAAGTCAAAATTAAATAAAAAATAATAATTATAAACTGTATTTTTAGAATGCGTTTTTTAAAACCCTAAATCATTTTTAGGATTTATAAAACGTATTTCCAAAATACGTCGTGCATTTGTATTATTTATTTTTTTTAAAAAAATAAAACCTATTAAAACGTATTTTAAGAATGGGTTTTCTAAAAAACGTATTTTCGAAATACATTGTTGTAATTAAATTAAAAAAACACCTATTAGACGCAAATTTGACGTGTGTTTTAATAAAAAAAAGATATCAGAAAATGTATTCTTAGAATATATGTTTTTTGTCAAACTATAAATATGCAGGTTCTGCTCAAAAATCAGATTGCGGTTTTGCTCAAATAGAAACCAAACTCCGAATTTTTTTTTCACCTTCAAAATAAAAAAAAGGATTTCAACCTTCAATCGGTACGGAGAAAAGGTTAATTTTTATTTTAATGTAATGTAATCATATTTTTGTTGTTGTTTATGAATGTTTAAGAAATATTGTTGGGTTAATGAGTATTGTTTAGAAAAGATTGATTGTTGATTTAATAGTTGAGTTAAATTATTATACTTTGTTCTTGGATCGTTTAGAAAAGATTGATTGTTGATTTAATAGTTGAGTTAAATTATTATACTTTGTTCTTGGATGATGCAAATTTATCCGAAATATGGATGAATTCTATATTATTGTTGGATTATGAGTATTAAGGTTTCGGAGGATTATTTGATAAAAGAATTGGCAATATTTTTTTTGGTTGCAGTATTAATTGGGAATATTTTTCTTGGTTGGAGTAAAAAAAATCATTAATTATATGTTGTTGCTGGAAATGGATTTTAAATTTAGAATGATAAAAGAATAATTTAACTAATAATTTTTTTTTGGTTGGTACTATAACTTACCAATAAATCCCCAACTAAAAAAAAACAAACAAATATTTGTAGGCAATTCGTTGCTATATATCAACAAATATATATATTTGTTGCTACATACCAAACAAATATAGTTTTTTTCGTAGAAATCGACTACAAATCTTCTTATATATAAGATTTATAAATTTTTCTCTAGTTATTTATTTAAACATATCTTTTGTAGGTAAATGGCTAGAGATTGTCTACAACTTTTTTTCTATAATTTTTTCTTATTTATCTATAAATATATTTTGTAGGTAAATATCTAGAGATTGCCTACGAATTTCTTACATTTATAGATAAATCTTCTCGAATGGATTGAGCTTAAATGACAGACTCTCACGCTTTGAAATCTTGTATGACAAAAAATAATGCTTCAGAGTTAGC